GGTATTGTTTGTCCCACCCGGGAATGTGCAGGCAAGCAAGGACCTCCGGGAGCTTGCAGAGCAACACGTTCTGCTCGGAGCAGGGGGGTGACTGCGGTTGGCAGCTCCGAAGGCTTCTGCGAGTGCTCAGGGTGTGCTCCAGTGTGGGCAATGTCCTGTCCTTGAAGCATGGCTGAGGACTGTGCAGGCCTTGCAGATGCAGCGGGGTAAGGAGGAAGGGAGGAGAGGTGGCCACATTTGGAGGCCATGGGGAAGTGGGAGGAACAGAGGTAAAGGGCAGGGAAAATGCCTCGGCACGTAGTTAGTGAGCTGTTCCTGACACAGTCGTGTGAGAGGCCAAGTGACACTCCTGGTTTCTGCCCTCTGCACGTTAGGTACTGCTCCTGCACAGCGAGCGCTGCAGCAAATGTCCTGTGGAAGCCAGAGCCAGCAGCTGAGCAAGGCAGAGGGTATCGCTGTTTCTGGGGGTGGATTCTGTTTTCGGCGAACAGGCATTACGTTACAGTGAGGGGAAGGAGGCGTGAAAAGACAGAGGTAAAACGCATGGCATTTTTAAATTTTAAAAAAAGATCACTGGCAGCATTTGTTAATATTCTTTAATTGTTCTGTGACAAAGTTGGCTTTTGTGCACTTCTGGGAATCGGACTCCTTCCTGGCTTACTGCTTAGGCTGGCTCTCAGTTTTAAAGAGGCTGAGACATCTGCTGCACAAGAACATACTTGTCTCACTTGTGCAAACTGACTGTGCGTGTGGAAGCCTGCACTGCATTTTTTTTCTGTTTGGTGATATATTAAATTCTTGGTTACTGTGCTGGTGAGTTGTGCTGCAGTGCTGCCCATCACCAGCTCTAACAGCACTGGCTCTGAGCGAGAAGCTGAGAAGTATTATGTGGAGGGAGGCAGGTAGGGATGCTGCCTGTCAAGTTTGGTTCTCTTGCTGCTAAATTCGTGGCATCTGTTCATTATTGCTTTTTATCTCATAATCTGATCAACGCTTTGGGTGTACCACTGGATTAGCTGTCTCAAAAGCCTTTGAGTCCCTCCTTTTACTGGGGCTATTAATGCTGTTTGTAATCAACCTAAAATGATCTCTTCGTGTCACTGCATTATTTTTTAAGTGCTTGAAATCCTTGCTTCAGCAAAAACGGGAGAAGAGAGAACTCCTGTTTTGAAGCTACAGAAACTCGTCAGAAATCAATTTACTCATCCTTACGATCAAACAGCCCAAAAGGGCATTTGTATCACCAGCTTCAGGAGGTCTGCTTCCATGTAAGCTATGATCCTTTGAGCAAGCGCCTGGTAATAGTTCACTGTTGTGCTGGTGAGTCCTTTATTTGAGGCATTTTACCCTGTCCAGTCTCAGCCACGAAGAGAGAGGAGGGTAAGAGAAATTGTCTGAGTCAGTGTGTAAATGTCTCCTCTTGGCTGCCGTGGCGTGATCTGCGCTGAAGGTCTCACAACAATCCTGTAAGTGAGCTAATAGCTCTCATTTCATTCTGGTCTGGCCTTTCATCAGCCCACACTGGACCAGACATACTCCAGAGCTAATGACAAGAAGGGGTAGGCTGTCTTCCACCAAGGTGATGTGTGCTGAGCATGCATGTGGGGAGGCTGGGAGGAGTGATTAATGCCCTGGGAATTCGCTTCTCTGCCTCGCTACACAAAGCTGTTGTGTCCGGGCACCGGGCGGGCTGCAGCTGGGCGCCAGGAACACGTTACCTAGTTTGCTCAGGATCAGGCACCGAGACAGAGACAGCGTGTTCTCAGCGGGCCGAGCTCGCCGCTGTGCCACAGCTTCATACTTGCACAGTGAGGCTCTCTTTGGACGTGGATCTGCTGCTAGGCGGAGGCAGGAATCCTGTCCTGCTCCAGCTCTGCTGCAATCTCCAGCCCTGACCTCTGCCAGGGTGAAGTCCCGGAGTTTGCTGAGTTGTGGGGGAGCTCTCCCTCCCCCTGGCTGGGAGGGATTGCCCCCCTTGGAGGTGAGAGGGGATGGTGCTTGGCCAGCAGTCAGGAGCCGTGACTCACTGGGGATCACAGGCGGAGCCCTGCTCTCCCTGCAGTCTGCTCTTCCTGCTGGAGCCCCTGCACGAGCAGTTGCTGGATGTTTTTCTCACCGGGCAGATCTGGGCTGGAGCTGGGAGAAGCTCGTGTCCACCATTAAAGCTGAGGAATTGGACTCAGTAAGTTCCCGGTCTGCAAGATGCTGGAAGGCTTCCTTTTCTAGGTGGAGGTTTGGAGAAAATGTTGGCAGTCAGCACTCTGTGGAGTAAGACAAGGCCAAGACCCTGGAAAACATAATATTTTGTGTTCGAATCATGTTACGGAGCAAGCAAGCCCTGTAAGACTGATTCACTGCTTTCAAAGACAGGGGCATACTGTCTAGACTCGGACGGATGGAAAAGGACAGCAAGCAGCCTAGTATTCAGAGGTATTTCACAGTCCCTTGCTGGAAGAGGATAGTTTACCAGGTGCTGGCCCTGGACTTTCAAGGGACAGAGTGATATGGTAGGTGTTGCCCCAGTAGGACCGGCTTTAGGGGCTTACACTCCCTGCTGGCTGGCTGGTGAGGGGCTGGTCTGGTGGTGTATGCAGGGCAAGTCTAGAGAAGGATGTGCAAAAGAAGTGTCAGGTATTTCTGGAATACGGGTAAGAGTGGCCACTGCTGTCAGTGACCTGTGTGGGCTCATCAGAAATCCCCAGCAACCTCGCAGGAGAATTTGTGTGCTCCTGGCTCTTGTCCCTGGCACTGGCACCAAGCCACCCCCATGCTCGCTGACACTCGCATCCCTCCGAGCCGAAGCATTTGCACTGCGGCAGTAGGGCTGTGGCTGCTCCCTTCCCTTCGTCCAACAGTCGGTCAGGGACTCCTGCATCTCAGAAGTAAGTTGCTGGATTAGTGTCATTGTTAGATTGCTCTCTGTTTTCCGAGACACTAATCTCTGAGCTAAAGGAGAGCACGCCCAGTTTCCCTGGGTCCTCCTGTTGTTAATCTGCTGTATCTGCTGTGCTTCTGAACTCTTCTGTCCCACTGGTTGTGTGTTTTGTCAGGGAGTGATCCTGCTTCTCAGTCCTGCTGAGGGAACATGGGCTTGTTGGGATTTTTGGGGCTGTTTCAGAAGTTGCTTAATGCTTTCTTGCCTCATGGGATGGCTCTCGGGGATTGCTTTTCACATCAATATGTTAGTAGCTGTGTTTTATTTTAAGTGCAGTTAATAGATATGTGTCAGAACAATTGCCGGTGTGCCTGCCTCTCTCAATCTTCTGTCTCGTTTGAAACAGAGCACCTTTAATGAATGAGTCCCCAGAGCTCCAGGTGAGTTAAGGAAGGGATGCTGCTGTTTTCCCCGGCAAGTAACTGGGTCCCAGGCAGCAGGAAGGCCATGTCCTCACAGTGACCATTGTAAAGGGTTTGGGTCCGCAGAGCACATGCTGTGATCTTTGCATTCCTCAGACCACTCTTACGTTACCCCTTTGACAGAGGAAATGGCAGAAATCCCACTGTAATCCTGGAGAACCTACCCTGAGGCAGCAATTTCACCTGCCTATTTTTATTTGTTGTCCAGTGCGGCTGTGAAGTGTGCAGACTCAGAATATGGCAAGTGTTTTTAGGACCCTGAGCTCAGCAGGTCCTTGTGCCACAGCCACCCCACCTCACACAGCGCTGAGGCTGCTTTCTTGTATTTACTATTTCCAAGCTAATTGAGGGCTCTTCCATCTTTTTCCCAGCTCCACATGGTCATGTTTTTATACTGTTGCTCTTTCTGCCTCAGTAGGTTCCTGCTATCCTGAACTGCAGCTCTTTGTGCTCCCGATTCACTCCAGTCCATTCATCTCTTTTTGGTGGCAAAGTGCTGTCGGCTGCTGGATATTGGGCTCTTTGTTTGCTCAGCCAGCACAATGCTGGTAACAAAGGGGCAGCCTGTGCCCCAAGGAGCTCACGTGCTAGGGGTAAGGCAGTGGCGAGCAATAGGGGTGACGGCAGGAGCAGAGGTGCGGGTGGTGGGAGAGCTGGCCATGCTGGCGGCGGCTGGGGGCGGGCAGGGACGTGCCCAGGACGCTGCGGCTGCCGAGCACAAACCCGCTTTGTTCCCAGGAGGTGAGCCGGCCTGGATAAACAGAGCAGTCCCGTCAGCAGAAAGCATTTCCCTGGCCGGAGCCCCTGCTGGCGCTCTGGCTGGAAGTTTGCTGCCCGTGGGTAGCAGGGCTGTTTTGCTCCTCTCCGTGTTAGCCTGCCCTGCTCCTGCCTCTCCGGGGCTCAGGTGGGACATGCACAGCTTTGTGTTCTTGGCGTGTGTTGCTGTGTGTTGTCGCCCTGCTTTTTCTGCTGCTAGCGAGAGACGCGCCTGCTCCATAGCCGTGCTGTGTGCACAGCCAGCTCTGCGTGGCACTGGGAGGGTGACTGCTCACCGTGCACATTGACATCGTAGGGCTCCTGACAATCCTGGACAGAGGCACCTTTCAGTTCCTTTCCTGAAGGGTAAGGGAAGAAGGGACAGCCCAGTAAAGCTGCAGGGCTGCTGCTGCCTCAGTGCAGCGTGGGGCCTCGTTGGGGAGGCTGCTTGGTGCAGGGCAAAGGCGACACAGAGGTGTCCTGGCTCGGCTGCTGTGTGCAGTGGTGGCTGCTGCCTGCCCACAGAGGCCCCAGCACGCTCTGGGCCTGCCCTGGTGTCAGGGAAGCGTGGAGCTTCCTCCCCTCCTCTTGCTTCCTTCCTGACGGGAATTTGCTTCTAGATTTTTTTGCTGCTTCTCCCCCTGGTACAGCACAAACGTGTCCTGGCAGAGGTAGCCAGAAAGGCCAGATAAGGCAGGCAGGACCACGGGGGCTGCACTGCTGGAGACCCCCCCTCCTTTGGCTACATGGGGAAGGGGCTCAGTGAGCTTAGGACAATGCCCCCTCGGTGCCCCTGCCTCTTGCACTCAGGAAAGGTTTTCCTTTCTGAGAATATTTGTGGTAATTTCATTTTTTTCCTGCCACTAATGGATTTCCTCTTGTCTCAGCCTTAGGTACCGATCAGCCTGCAGACCCCACGCAATGGAGGCTGGCTCTGTGGTACGAGCGGTCTTTGATTTCTGTCCCAGCGTCTCTGAGGAGTTGCCCCTCTTCGTGGGAGATGTCATCGAGGTGCTGGCTGTGGTGGATGAGTTCTGGCTCCTCGGCAAAAAGGAAGGTGTCACAGGTAAGAGCCTGCCCCTGGGTCCGTAGGCTGCCACCTGCCAGCTCAGCATCCACCATGAGCACCTTTCCTGGCCAGTGCTTTGCTCCTGGGACATGCAGGACCAGAACTGTTGTACCAGAGCTTTCACTGGGCTTCACTTGGGACTGAGGGTGCAGGGTCCCTTCCAGCTGCACGTCAGGTGTTCAGATAGCTCACTTGTTCTTTTGAGAGAGATCAGTGGTGTGTCATTCCTTGAGATGGGAGCTTCACAGCACTAGGTGCTACATCCTCTGTGTGGGACAGCCGTTTCCTGGCTAGTTTATGCACTGACCTGCTGTGGAGTGGAAGGGGAGAGAGGAAACAGATGCAGTGAGGGTGGAAGCGCCAAGTGACCTTGTCAGTTCAAGTCAGTGGGACGCTCAGTGACAGAATCCATGTCCCCCCTGGAGGCCTGACTCAGCCCCGCTTCCTCCTTTTTGCTTTAAAACACTTTCCTGGACAAGCTGGGACCAATACCAGGGTGCCTACAGTAGTGTGCAAGTCTGCTAAACTTTTGGAAGAGCGTGAGAGACTTCTGAAGTACCAAAATGCTCTGAGTGAAACACTTAGTCTCGTCATCCTCGTGTAAGCAGCTCTTTCTCATCTCTACTGAAGTTGAGATGTGAGCTCTCAGGGAGATGAAAACCAGGCCACTTCAAAGCAGAAGCCTGACTCTTTGCTCAGCGTGAAGGTAGGGCTGCACTTCCACGCCTGGCCGTGGAGATGGGGCTGCTATTGCAGCCTGGGCTCTGCTACCAGCTGTGGGCTGTCAGGCGCCTGTCTCTGCTTAAAACAAAGATGGACAGGAGCAAAGGTGCAGAGGAGGGCTTTTCCCCTGTGCTCCACATAGCTGATAAATGGCACTGGATGAGTGCATTCCTGATCCCAAGCCACTGGGCACAAATTACTTCTGCAGAAATCAGCAGCGGCTTCTTTACCACAGTTTTTTCTCTCAGTGTAACTGAAGTGCTTGTTCTCAAGAGCATGAAGCTGTGAAGGAACAATAAACAGATGTGTATCATAGCTCAAAGATAACGAAACATGCCAAAGTTAAACAGAATGGCTTTTAATGACCTTTAACTCAAAACCAGCTTGCATTCCTGCCTTTCATTGGAACAGCTGTTGTAGTTTTCTGCCCAGTTTTCTAAGCTAACGTTGCAGGGGATTGAAAAAGCACTTCTTAATAGAAGCTGTGTAGGTGCTGCAGCCTACCAATAATAATACTTAATACTCTGGGGAATAATTAATGTAGCTCTGTGGCTTCCTTTCTAACAGTGTTAGGTTGTTTCCATGTACAGAACAGGAAACTCAGACATGGAAAAAGAGGTGGAGTTGGTCAAAACTCTGAAGGAAGCCACTGAAACTAGAAGCCTGTGGACTGTTGGTTCTACCTCAGGTTAATGACAGCAGATGCCAAACTGCCTAATCCTGATGGGAAGTGCAGGGTGTCCGAGATAGGATGTCTCCAGGTTTTATTGGAGAACATGGAGTAACCACTCAGTGGTTATAATGAGTGAATTCTGGAAGTGCTACTAGCCCATAGTCCATCATTTCTCCTTGCCGTGGATTGTAAAAGACAGGAATGACATTTGTAGGGGGCTTTGCAGTGGGCTCTGCCATACCCAGTCCTCCCAGGGCTGAAATCAGTAGCAGGGTGAAGTCCTGCGATGGCCAGCTGTGCACAGCCCTGTCTGGCTGTGGCATGCTCGGAGTAGCTGGGCATCCTGCGGTGGGTACCATGGTGAAAGAGCTGCACGAGGTGGTAAAATGGGCAAGGTCACCAGAGCCTCCGCAGGCTCTGCCTCTGGCTCACAGATGTGGCCTTCCTGAGCGTGGCGGCCTGACTTTTGCACTGAGGCCATGCTGGAGCCAGGCCTTGCAGAATGAGGAGCACAAGGTGGATGTGCCCAGTCAGAAGTCTTGTGGTCCAGCACTAGTGGAACTCACAGTCCTCATCGTGTCCCTGGGTTGGGATTCAGGAAATGAAAGTGGAGAAAACCTGATGTCCGTTCCCAGAAACTCTGCTGATGGTCCTGGTTGCCTGGAGTGAACTGAGGACACAAAATTTTTGTTCTCTGCTAGCTTCTAAGCATTTTAAATATGAGGAATTTCTGCCTCCCAAAGTCATTCCTCTTCCACCACACTGTTGAGGCACCCTGGGTAGCTGGGGGCACAGTATTTTCCTTTAGCAAGAGGAATAGATCCCAAGGGTCTGGAAGAAGGGTGGAGGGAGTTGTGGTGAGCTACAAAAAAGACTCATTGTTGACAAATGCTTCTCATTTTAGGGCAGTTTCCTAGCAGCTTTGTGGAACCTGTGGATATTCCCCCTATGAAGCAGGGAGAAAAACTGTTTGTTTGTACCAGTGACTTCACATCTCAAGAGCCAGGGAGCTTGTCACTGCAAAGAGGTAATCTCCATTCCCTTCCTTTGCTTTGCATCTCACAGACCCCTGCTGTCCTACCAGAAGAATAAGGTGAGCCTTGGCACAGCATCCTGCCTACAGTGGCAGGGGAGAGAGGGGAGTTTTCTAATACCCCATGACATGGATCACATCAAAACCTCTGTGGACTCTTGTGTCTGTCCCTGCCTCCCTCCAATGCCAGTTTCTTATGATCTATTGTTACTCTTGAAACTCCAAATACTGGAGTTGTGTGATCACAGTAGGCTTACAGCTACCTTTTAACTGCCCTCCAATCCCCAAATCCTAGACTTTGGGGGAAGGAAATCAAAGCTTTGGTGCAACTTCATGGCACAGCAGCTAGAAAGTCACGGAGCTATAACTGTGTAACTTAGCTATGTGTGTGCATGAAGCTGCCAATGCTTCGTGCTTTACCTTCAGTCTGTGCTCTGGTACATCCCCAGAACACACTGCAGAATGCCAGACCCTACCCACAGCCAAAAAGGACATGGGGAGGAAGGAAGAGGAGGTGAGAAGCAATCACGAGGGCAATTTTGAACTGGTGTGTCTCATTCCCTGCAGGAGACCTGGTGATCCTGGGGGGTTCCCTGGCCTCCAGCTGGCTCCAGGGCCGAAGCAGCTGGGGTTCCAAGGGCTTTTTCCCCTCATCATGTGTGCGGGAGCTGTGCCTTTCAACTCGGAGCCGTCAGCTGTCCCAGAGCGCTCTCCTGGAGGTGCCTGCCTACTCGTTGGGCCAAGCCCGGGCCCTGATGGACCTGTCTGCTCAGCTGGAGGAGGAACTGGACTTCAGGGAAGGGGATGTGATCAATATTGTTGGCATCCCAGAGCCTGGCTGGTTCGAGGGGGAGCTCCGAGGCCAGAGGGGCATTTTCCCAGAGGGTTTTGTGGAGCTGCTTACTCCTCTAAGAGCAGCAGGAACCTCAGAAGATCCAGAGCCCAGAGGGACTTGTGACACCAATGGGACAGTGGAGGTGCCCACCAAACAGGAGGAGGACAGCAGAGAAGATGGAGGGCAGGAGCCAGGGAGCACCTATGGTGTTGCCCTCTACCAGTTCCAAGCCCTGGAGTCCCAGGAACTGGATTTTGAAGTGGGTGACAGGATTCGGATTGTGGGCATTCTGGAGGATGGCTGGCTAGAGGGGGAGCTGAGAGGGAAACGCGGCATCTTCCCACACAGATTTGTGAGACTGGAAGCCTCCGACCCCTGCAGGGAAAAGGTGGGTGCTGGAGATCCCCAGGCTGGAGTCAGCTGTGAAGTAAACATCCAGCAAGACCCAGAGAGCGCCATGCTCCAAAGCTCTCCCTTTGCCAGGGAAGGATGGCAGGGATGTGGAGGATGGCTCTATTGCACACCCTGTGGCTGACACCATTACGTCTCACATGGCAGAGAGGTCGGAGGGTCCTCTGGGCTCTGATCTGAGACAATCAGGCCTTTCCTGACACAGGACTCCAGGGGCCACATCCCAAAGCCACAGCAGACTCCCTCCCCTCTGACTGCACAAAGACAGTCAATGGCCTTCATCCCTCTGCTCAGCTGCCCCCACAGCAGAGCAGCAAGCCTGGCCAAGCAGGTATGTTGGAGCCTCAGGCCCTGCCCGAGCATGATGGAGACAGTCCCGCCATGCCCCAGCAGGCTCCCTGCTCCCCACCAGACACTTGCAGAAGCCAGGTCATTTCTCCTCCTAACAGCTGGACAGCACCAGAGCCCCAGGAGAACCAGAGCAGCACCCAGGACTTGGATGGTTGGGTGGACAGTCAACAGGAGAAGTCCAAATCTTGTTCTTCCAGCTTGGGAGGTGCCCACGTGGGCTCGGACACCTGGTCTGGGACCTGGGGGGAATGTTCCCTGCTCACAGCTCAGGGGGACGGCTGCACGGACCTCGACTCCAAACTGACAGAGCAGCTGGCGCAGTTTGAGAAGAGTCTGTCGAGTACCGGTGCTGAGCAGGACAAGGTCTCCCGGCACTTCTCCATCTTGGACTATAGCTCAGAGAAGGACATCGTTCGTGGCTCTCCCGAGCCTGCCTCCCACGCCAAGCCTCCAGAGAGGAGGAAAGCCCTGAGGCCACCCCCTCCTCGGCCCAGCACCCTCACGACAGCCCCCATGCCCTCGCAGCCCAGCCGCCTTCCCAAAGGCAGGTCCCTGTCCTTCTCGGTGAAGCCCTCCCGGCCCGCACCTCGGCCTCCGTCCAGCAGTCAGCGGAGGAGCCTGGCCCCTCTGCAGCTGCAGCCCAGCGCCCAGGAGCAGCGTGCAGAGGAGGGCCGCGATGACACGATGCAGACAGGAGCGGCTTCCCCCTGCTCCATCCTGCTGACGAGGATCGGGGAGGTGGAGCGAGACCTGGAGGCTTACGGGAAGACCCGCGCTGAGCTGAGCTTGATGCTGGAGGAGCAGCAGGATGAGCTGGTGAGAGCGGAGACCCTGGAGAACCTGGACTTCTGTGATTCCAACATTGAGAGCCTCAGCGTGGAGCTGCAGGAGCTGAGAGGTGAGTCTGCGGCAGTAGGGGTGCTTTAGTAGGACAGGTGGCCCCTGCCACATACAGCCCCTGCTGGAGCCAGTCTTTTAATCCTTTTTTTTTTTTTTTTTTAAATTCTTGATTTTGGTTGTTTTTGTAAACCCTGTGGCACTACAAATTATGGTGATTTTGCTTTGCACTTGGAGAAGAAGGCTGCCTGCTTTATGTGGGCACATTTGGACTCTGAAAACCCGAAGGTAAGATACAAAGATCAGTGCTGTTACCTCTGTTATACTTCATAATACAACAGAGAAAGTGGAAACATACATCTCCCACAGTCCCTTCCACAGCTTCTCCCAGGAGCTCTTACAGTGCTGTTCTCTTAGCAAAACTCATGATGCGCAGGAAATGTGGGTACTGCGTGCGGGAGGTGGAGTGAAATGTCAGCTCATGCCTTGGGATTACTCACTCTGATTTCAGTGCCTCCAGCCTCCCACTACTTAATCAGTATTGTGGGGCCCAGGCGCTTTGCTGCAGGATCGTGTGTGATGCAGAGCACGCGGGAGCGAAGGATGATGTCAGTGCGCTGGGGAAGCTGGGGTGACACGCAGCCTCCACACCAGTGGGGTGTGAGAGGGATGCTTGGAAGATTCGAGGCTTGGAGTTAGGAAGAGGCAAATCCGGGAAGGATCTTTCTGGGACACGTCTCCTGCTGTCTCACTGCTTCCTGACAGAGGAAGGTCCTGCTGAATTTGTTCGTTACTGAAACTGAAAGTTTTAGGCAGGAACTAACTGCACTGGCTTGAGACATCCTGCCTGTCAAGTTATCCCCTTACTAGTCCCAGGGGATTTTTCAGCCTTTAAGAAACCTGAGGATTGAGAAGAAGCAGTCCTGGTCCTATGATCAGTGTCCTACCTAAGGACACAAAATAGGGCTGGCATAGTCCTGGGGGAACCCAGCCCATCCATTTGTCATCCAGGGAGCCAAATGAACAGCAGAAAGGATGTGTTCTTCTAAAATACGTGTTTAAAATGTGCGGGTTGCTTCTCGGCATGTCTTGTGTGTACACTGAAGTTACGCTAATGACCTGACTTGGGCAGGATTAGTGCTTGCCCTCCTGCAGCTGGAGCAGGAGGGTGTGTTGGTTTTAATTTTGCCTTCTGCCAGCTGGAAGCATCAGTTGTGCGTACAAGTGCTACAAGAGCCTGAAGCATGGATGACCTCCATGGGCTCTCCTGTCTGTTCAGGGCACATTGTGGTCATCTCTTGGCTTCTCAGTGGAGCTTCTGTGTTTGGGGTATGGAAAACTAGGGAGTGTTGCTCATCTCCTGCTGCTCCTCACCTGTGGGTGAGGGCTGGCAGAAGGATGGGGCTCGGCAGGAAGGTATGGAGGACAAGGTTGCGTCGCTTGGGCTCCGTGCTAGCTGCTGGAGCTGGCAGGGGTGTGGAGGCGGGGGAAGAAGGAGATCTGATGCTCAGTACCTGGTCTGTGGCTTCCCATGGTCTCACACGCACCTCTTTCCCTTCCCTGGGGATGTTGTTCTTAGAGCATGGCCTGGTGGTGCCCCACTGCACTCCTTTTCGCTGCCCCGGGGAGGCTGCTGGCTGTGGCAAAGCTGTGGAGCCGGTCTGTGCAGTGAGAGCCTCCCCGCAGCCTCCCTCCCGCCCTCTGGGCTGGTTACTGATTACCTTGGGCAGCAGGTGGAGGAGGCTGGGGCTCCGAGCCATTGGGCACGGCCCCGTCCTGCTCCTGCGGGCTGGTTTCAGGAAGTGCTGCTTGCCTTTCGCCTGGGAAGAAAGTGCTGGAGCGGAGGGGAGAAACGGCACCAGCCCCAGCTGGGGCTTGGGGAGCAGGAGGACGATGTGCACTTATCCCAGGAGGAAATACGGCGTGGAGGATCCTCGGCAGGATCTTCGGCTTCTCAGCTGGGAGTACGAGGACTGCTGTGCTGCGAGGAGAGGGGACGTCACCGGGGTGGACGCGCTGCTCAGGGAGGCTCACTGGAATGAGAGACCTGGGACAAAGAGGCAGCACCCAGACTGGGAGGGAGCAGACAGAGGCTGGGATGATTATGAGGGAGAGGAGGGCGTCTCTGTGGATGAACAGAGTGTGAACGGAGACTGTGAAGGCTTCTGGAAGGGAGACGACAAGTACATGGACTGCAGGAGAACAGACAGGGCTTGGAAAGGCAAAAGCCAAGGACACGGAGGATAGAAACTACAGGGTGAATGAGAGGGAGGGTGTTCAATACAGAGACTGCAACTCCGAGATGGGAGCAGGGCGGGACAGAGAGGACAGAGTACCTGGGAGGTACAGGGAGGGGGGAAGGCGGTACAGGGAGGATAGAGGCCCTGCAGAGCCCAGGGAAGGGGGAAGGTGCTATAAGGAGGACAGAGACCCTAGGGACTACAGTGAGGGTGAAGGACGTTATGGGGAAAGGGAAAGGCAGCGTAGGCAGGACAGGAGGGGCTCTAGAGGGTACAGGGAGGAGGGAAGGCAGTACGTAGATGCCAGGGACCAGGCAGCCCAAGAAGACTTTGAGCAGCACAGGCAGCCTAAAGGCCATGTCATGCACCGCAGCGATCCAGCTGGAGGCTGCGAAGCTCCTGCGTTTGCAGCCTGGTCCTCGGGAGACAGCAGCACGAGCCTGGAGTCAGGCTCCTGCTACAGACAGTCAAGGACATGGGACGTGGACTGCGACAGCTGTGGGGAGCCAGGAGGAGCAGCCCTGGATGCTAGAGCAGAGCGCTCCAGGGTACGCACGGGCCGGCCAGACTGGAGCCACATCTGGGAGGCGGAGGAAGACAACAGGACGGGCTCCTTGCTGCAGCGAAACAGTTTCTACAGGAGGACGGCTCCCAGCACCCTGCGGCACTCGGAGTTTGTACAAACCAGGAAGGAGAAGCGAGGTAGGCAGGGAACTGCTTGGGAGTTGCCGGTGCGGTGTCCCGGGGCGTTCCTTCACCCTGCCCTAGTGCCCAGACACACTGCTGACGGCACGGCCGTGACCCTCAGCTTCAAGCAGCTTCGTGGGGCTTGCTCTCTTGTTGCAAGGTCACGAGTAGGTGCTGGGGCAGGGACAGCAAGGCTGGGTGGAGGGAGCCGACCTTGGGCCTGACCTCCCCGTCAGGTAATGGTGTGTCTGAGGGTACCTGCTGGCTGCTGTGCCCTTTCTGCGTCCAGCCCAGGCACCTGTATGTGAACTGAACTCTCCCTGAGGGGGGTGGAAGCGTGGAGCAAACAGCACGGCAGCGCAGCAGCCACCTAGGTGGCAGTGCTGGAGGCTGCGGCTGGCTATCAGCTTACCAAAAAAATCTGTTCTCTGGAGGTATTTTGATTAAGCAGGCTCTGCAGGCTGCGTTTCTGTGCTCTCGGCTGCCCTGGCAGGGTGGGACTTTGCTCGGTTGTGTCCCCAGGGTAAGGGAAGGGAGTGGTTTTGCAGTGCCAGGAGGTTGAAAGGGCAGCTAGGAGGGGCCAGGAGCACAGTGGGGAGGGAAGCAGTCTGCAAAACCCTGCGAGGCTCAAAATGGGGCAGGGGCTGGCCTGTGGGAGCTGCACCTGGGAAATACTGCAGGCAGCTCCCAGCTGGGCCTGGGGAAACCACACACCGTGCTCCACCGCTGGTTCCACAGCAGGACAGGGAGAGAGGAAGGCTCCAGGTGTCTTCCGTCTGTCCTGCAGCCTGTTTATGGCTGCAGGTCCCTGCTGTATTGCTCTTCAAGCCTCACTGGGGCCCTGGCCAGCATCAGCAGCACGCCTCCCTGGCAAATGTGCTTAGCCCCTGTAGCTGCACTGACTCTGTTTAAGACCTCACCAGCACCTGGGAGCCTTCCAAAAAGTCATCCCACAGTGCTTGGCAGCAGACACCTTCCTGTCCTGCTGCTAGGAAAAAGTCTGCTCTGCTTTTCCCTCTCTGTGTACCTCTAGGTGCTTTTTACAACGCTGTCTGCTCTCCTAGCCGCCTCCTCCTCTCCGCAGAGTAGCAGAATTCAGGACTTGGAAGCCCTGTTAGGGATGACATGGGGACATCTTTTCCACCAGCTGGGTTGTTACACTTCTCACAGATTTCTCTGTGGTGCAGCCCAGTGACAGCTACTTGGTTAGAGCATCTCTTCGAGAGGAGGCTCAGATGTGTCTGCCTGATGCTCCAACAGAAGGAGACTCCTCCTGACATAGCGGTGCTGCTTACTCACCATCCCTCTTGAATGTTTTGCATGCTAATGTGTTGTATTTCAGCTTTCAACCCCCAACCTTTTTCTACCAAATTACAGCTTTTTAGTTGATGTTTTTTTTTTCTCAGACAGGTACTGTAATTACCAGCCTTCAGTTCTACCAGTAATTTTTCAGTCTTCAGGTCTTTGTAATTAATGGTCTTAAAATACTCATGGCACAGGCTCACAGAAAGACCTGTCAGTGTTTATTCTTCCCCATCTTCACTTATTTTTCAGTTCTTACTCCTAAAATAGTGGACTTTAAAGCAGCAGGAGACATCCTAGGTGGGTGTCAGCACCTTGCTGCACTCCTGTTCCTTGTTGCAGACCCCTACACATGCTTTTGCTGCAGCAATGCTCTGGGAACTTGTGCTGAGTTTCGGATGACCTGAGCAGAGTCATTAGTCCCCAGAACACAGCCCTGCGTGTGGCTGCATTTCTTATCCCCAGTAATACATTAAGGCATTTGTCTATGTTAAACCTACTTGGTTTGAGTAGTTCCATCTTGTCCAAAATACCTTGGCTCAGTTAGCAACTAATATGTGTAAACCTCGTGTGTGATCCTACGAAATCATTTACTTTGAAAATATTATATAGGATCAACTCTAAATTCAGTTTGTAGAGAATGTGATTAGAAATGCTCTCTTCTCTATATATTCTCCATTGGCAATGGGTTTTTGAGGTGCCAGTTAGTGAGGTCTTATCTCAGCTTTTGAGGTGGAAAGAAGCAGAATATTTATTTTGTATAATTTTGCCTTTCCATCATCTTATCAAGAACTTTTCTCTCTCTGCTTATTATAGGATTAGATCATTATAA